CTTTTCTTTGTCCCTAACCATTTTTTTCTCTCGTCTGGCGGCTCCCGAGAGATTTTTACCCCTCGGTCGTTTGCCAGCTGCGGAGCCCAACGGTTCTTCCGCGGAAGTCCCGCCGGTACTTTGTGGTATTATAATATTGGTTTCAATATCATTCCCACGAGCAGCTAGGAAAAAGTTGGTCCACGCACACAGAGCCTCGCATGTGTGGGCAAGGCTGATACAATGAGGTTCGCCTGTTGCCTCAAGGTTAGTCGCTATTGGCTGGGCTTCCCCCCAGCCTTACATCTCTTGGCGCGCACTATACCGTAAGAATTGGGAGGTGTTATAGTGACCTCATCATGCGATCCAGGTAGTGAAACCAAGATTCCCGTACCCCCTGCGGCACCTATCCCGAGGCCGAAGCCACGGGAGTCGTCGCACTGCAGGCGGTTTGCGGTTTGTGCCACCAGCTGGTCTCGACTTTCACTTTTGGCCGTCGCTAACCGGTCAGACGTATCTGACCGGCCTTCCCCCTATCCGCCACTTGGGGACGCGCCCGATGGGTAGCTCAACCTGCACGGGTGCTCTCTTGGTTGGTATGTGTCTAATTTATTGGTGAGTCTTGTCTTGTTATATCCTGTGTTATCCTCGTGAACAACTTGTAGAGCATTGATAACAATTGGACATGGCGTTACAGTACTGACTACTGACCTTAAATTGTTTATTTTTCCAGTTCTATTTGTCCTAGCTTCGCGCTGCACAAAGCACTATACTCCTCACTTTTTGTACTACACGCACGCACTACAACCGGGTAAGAAGGCAGCGAAAATTTCAGGCAATCCAGCTTAATTGATCAAAGAGATGTTAGGATGATATGCATTGACCACATTTACAACTGTCGTTTGCACTGCGCGTCCTTTTGTGTAGCTGTTCGCCTTAGAATTAAATTTGGACGATTCGCGAGATTTTGTTACGTTCTGTTGAAGATTGGTTTCGACTGTTTCTAGTAACTGCGCCCGATTATTTAGAAAACCCGTGAATTCGTCTAGCTTTACTGAAACGCGGCTCGCTTTGTACTTTTCTCAACCTTGGGCCGTATGTGAATCAAGTTTTTTTAGACAAAACGTATATCAGAACTGTGTCTCATGCATCCACAGGTTCGCCTGACTGTTGAAGACAGCTTAAATGCTTGAATAAATGTTCGTATAAATACCGATTTTTTCAGCCGATGCGACTGTCATGTTTTGTAAGTTAAAAATGGCTTTTAAGTGATTTTGAATTAAAATGCTTATTATTGAATCTGTCGCACAATGTGTTCCAAGCCATATTGTAATTGTTGGCGCTGAATTCTAATCCGCATAATCTAATCTAAATAACAACTTGATTAGCTGAATCAACCAGTGAAGCTCGCAAGTAGTGAAATTTTTACATAGATTTTAATTAATTGTTGTCGTGAATCAGAGACTCGAAAATATCGCGAAATTCTAGGGAGCTCTATTTCCGTTAATTTGACTGTTTCCAGTGAGACCGAATGAGGCGGAAACTTTTGACAATATTGCAGAAGCTTCGTTTTGATTTTTGCAATGTTTCGATAAGTATTGTTTTGCTTTGGACAAAAGTTTATAAAATTTCTGTTCGAATTCCTCGCGTTCTTGACATTACGCTTCCGAATCTTCCGCAACAAACCCAGTTATTCTCTCCCGAAGCTCCACTATCTCCGTTTCGCTGACGCCATTATCCGAGCCTTTAATTGTCTCTAGAAATCTGTTGAACATGGTCAGCTTCGCCTTTAATGATCCACGCTTCTTAATTAAAACCTTCAACTGATGGTCATTGGTGGCCATTTTGTATACTTTGGCCATACTTGTGTTACTGCTCAAAGCACTCTGAATTTGGCCACGTGCCAATGTGTTATTGAATGATCAGCTTCGCATCAACTACGCAATACCACAACGAATAATGATTTTAAGTACCCCCAATAAACGCAATACTCGGTAAAATAGAGAAATGGTAAAAAGGACTGACCTGTTCGATGTTGATTTCGCACTGGTTTCCGCACTGGTGTATTAACTTTATAAAAAAAAACCAGTTTGCCTATTTATTTTGTTTAACTAACGAATGTATATTTTGAAAAGCGTCGGTGGATCTTGTTCACGTGTGTCGCTTCGTTCGCCCTTTTTCTTGGTTATTTTTTTTTTTTTTCCTACAGATGGCTCTGCTCCTTTCGGGCAATTTGCTAGCTCATTCGGGGCGGGAAGATCTTGTCTGGACTTTATCCATATCTGCCCCGCGTGTTGATGTGGAACTTTATTGTGCTGTGGAGTAATTTAACCGCCACCGGGGTTGGTTACCCGATCTTGGTTTATTTGTGTGTTAATCAAAGTCAGATTTAAGGACGAGGTTATATGTTATTGTGAACACTCACAACAGAGGACGAACACAAACGCCACAAAGTACACCACCGTTGATCCTTTGCTCACTGAAAAATGATTACTATTATTGGCTTGAGTTATATGCCTTGCCATCTTATAATTTGATTTTGTTGTAGGCAAGAAATTTAATTAGAATCCTAATTCTGAGGTCTGAAAGATTTGATAAGATACTAGCAATATTTAGGGGGGCTCGGAGACCTGATAAAATCATTTCTTTATAGATGTCAATACTCGGACTATAATTAATTGGGCATTCTAAGAAGATATGGTCCAGAGTCTGCTCCGAGCCACACTCACAACTTGGATCGGCTCTGATCTTAATTCGAAAAAGATGTGACGCTGACAAACAATGACCTGTACGGATTCTTATGATAGTTGTAATATGGTTCCGGTCGACGAACTCTAAATTGTCAAACCACCTCGTTTTTGGGAAGGAGGACACTATCCCGGAGTACCAGATTCCTTTTGTTTTTAATGAGTTTTGCCACGTTTTACAGTATTCATCCCTAATTTGATTTCTAATCTTTGATATGATTTCTGACCTGTCCAGTTC